CCTAATGTTCCCCCCCCCCCCCAATGGCACAGCGGTATATCTGTGAACTTGCAACGCTAGAATCCGGGTTTCGATACTCGTGGTGGGCAGAGCAGAGATAGCCCATTGTGTAGCTTTGTGCTTAATTACAAACAAACAAACCCTAATGTTCTTTTTTCTTTTCTTTTTTTGGTTTCGTTTATTGTTAAGCACAAATCTACGCAATGGGCTATCTGTGTTCTGCCCATCACGGGTATCTAAATTTTATTTTTTAGCGTCGTACGCCTGTAGACTTACCACTGAGCCACTGGAGGGGGGAGGAGGTGCAAGTTGATTGAAAAAATAATTCCCAGAAAGAAATTCGAAATTCGTTTACGACTCGATGAAGAGTTTAGTTGTATTGAAACCAAAGATTGTATGTACTACAAGTTAAAGTTATCACTTTCATATAACAATGACATTCTCAATGTTAGACACTAAGTATATAGAGAGCTTGTAATCAAAATATTTCCATTAACTTAACAAGCACATGTAAGAAGAGCACACTCACAATACTGAAACCAAAGATTGTATGTACTACAAGTTAAAGTTATCAGTTTCATATAACAATGACATTCTCAATGTTAGACACTAAGTATATAGAGCGCTTGTAATCAAAATATTTTCATTAAATTAACAAACACATGTAAGAAGAGCACACTCACAATATTGAATACCGAATAAAAATTTAACTATAAGTGAACATAAGTGTAGTATAGAAAATAGAGAGAAACAATTATCCTCATAAATATACCTAACCTTGTTCTTATGTGTATATAGTCCACAATAAACATAATCTGTCAACTGACACTGAAGAAATCAGTGTTATGTAACTTAGAAACGGCGTACAAAATATGTGATTGAGGATTAACAGAATATAACTCATCATGAGTATAACTGTTATTGACATCACTTTATTATTTCCAGTACCACGTCATAAAATGCGTTTGGAATTTTAGTTTCTAGTTTTGAGATTAGAGATTTATTATCTTTCAATAAACTATTCCTTGCTTGGTGCTGTTGTGACTGATCGTTTTGAGAATAATAGAAAAGTTTTCACTCCCAATTTTAGGTTTAGATTGAAATATTTCAGCTGAACATTTTACTTAAATCCTTGCCTGTGTTATGTTTCCAAAAGAACTTAGTCAGAGAAATATTTAAATAGTATAAGATCTCGAATTTTAAGCATTCTCAATGTATAGCAAACCTTGAAACCCTAGCAAATATAATCTTTACCGTTTTAGTCAATACAACTTTTGTGTGAGTTTTTATCACGGTATATAAGTATGTAGATAGCTAAACGTGTACTCTGCGTTTTGAATTCATTTTAATCTCTTAGTCGAAAGTAGTTCCGGAATATTAACCATATTTCTCTATATTCTTTAACGAGACTGCAATATTTTTGAAGAGTTATGAGCTGGTCATCATTTATTTCTAAGTGTTAAACTGAAACTACGTGCTTGAGGCTTATTTTCACTTGAACAAAAGCAGGATTAAGTTATTACAAAACGTCTAGAGAACCAAAAAAAAAAAAAAGGTTCAAAATACAAGTTTATCGGACTTTC